TTTTTTATAATCTTCAAAAGAGTAGCATAGCCTAGTGTGATATATGAACCCTTTCCTTTTTTTTTTTTAGACTAAGACAAAAGCGCGTGTGCACGCACACGTGCACACACACATACACACCCATACACACAAACATACACATACACACTACACATACACATACACACATACACACATACACATACACACATACACACCATACACACACATACACATACACATATGCATACACACACATACACATACACACACATACACACACATACACACACACACACACACACACACACACACACACACACACACCACACACACACACACACACACACACACACACACACGCACACAAACCTAACCTAACACATTAGCTCATAAATCCCCCACCACACATATTTTTACGATAAGCAGAAGCAGCTAGAACATCCCAACAGGATAAAAACAAAATGGGCTCTCAAAAAGGAGGACGTAAAGGCAAGGGAACTGATGATGGATGGTCGGAGATGGAAGAATGGGTAGAACGGGTCAAGAACAAAATGGAACAACAATGGGAAAAAAGGTTAAACGAGCTTTGCAATAACATGTTGGAGAAAATATCTGCAGAGAGCAAGAAGTGGGAATCACGAGCTGTAGTACCTGAGGCAAAGATACTGAGATTGGAGGAAGAAATGGATGTGCTGAAGCAGGATCTAAAGATGAGGTCCGAAAGGAGCAAGATGACTGAAATGGGAACATCAGCAGGCAGGAGGGGATGGATCTAAGCAGTCTTTTGCAGCAGTAATTTCAGGCCATCATGGTGTCTGGGAGATGATTAGGGAAACAGCAAAGGAGATGCTTAAATCAGATCCAGAGATACAGAGGGAAAAGAAAAGGGAAGAGGAGAGGGAGAGGTCAATAATTATTCATGAGCTTCAGGAGGCTGAAGGGCAGACCTATGATGAAAGAAAGCATTGGGAGAAAACAGAGATTAAGAACATCATTGTAATAACAGGAGAGAGGGACATGTCTCAGGTAGAAAATTTTCACAGACTTGGGGGGTATTCGAGGGAAAAAAAACGACCAATCGGATTGACATTCAAGACAGATGTGGTACGGAACAAGATATTACAACAGAAACCACTGTTAAAGGACTCTCCAGATTATCAAAAAGTGTTCCTCAATTGAGACAGAACAAGAAAGGAAAGGGAACAACTGAAAGTGAGAACAAGACAGAACCAGTGGAAGGAAAGAGAGATAGGACAGGCAATGACAGACAGGAAAACTCAGCCTTTGGGGGAACATCAAACACAAATGGTTACAGAAACCTCTCAACCCATCACCACATATCAACCAAACACAGTAAACAGAAACGAACCTCACTCCATAGCCACCATCCCCTAAGCTCTAATTCCACAATCACAGCAGCATCCCATAATATTGTGCCCTGCCTCCCACCCTCCCACCCTGCACCTTTCTCTTCCATCTCCCAAAATACAGTAATGGAAAGGAAGCTAAAGGTATGGTACACCAATGGAGATGGAATAACAAATAAGAGTGTAGAGTGGCAAGAACGCATCATTGATGCATCACCTGACATCATAGCACTAACAGAGACAAAACTTACAGGGATGATAACAGATGCAACTTTTCCACCTGGATATCAGATTATGAGGAAAGACAGAGAGAACAGAGGAGGGAGAGGAGTAGCATTGCTCATAAAAGACCAGTGGAGTTTTGAGGAGATGGGAGGACTGGAAAGAAGGGAAACAGACGACTTCATTGTAGGAACACTTCAGACTGGTGGTCCAAAGGTGATGATAACAGTGATGTATAACCCACCGCTTAACAGCAGGAGAACAAGAGAAGAGTATGATGTGTGCAATAGGGAAATGGTGGATACACTAGCTGAAGTGGCCAGGAGGGCTCATATGGGTAGGACAAAATTGCTTATAATGGGAGATTTCAATCATAAAGAGATTGACTGGGAAAACCTAGAGCCACATGGGGGACCAGAAGCATGGAGGGCTAAGATGTTGGAGACTGTATTGGAGAACTTCATGCATCAACATGTTAGGGATACAACCAGAGAGAGAGGAGAGGATGTTGCAGCAAGGCTGGATCTCATATTTACCTTGAACAGTTCAGACATAAGGGATATCACCCACGAAAGACCTCTTGGCGCTAGTGATCATAGTGATCATATCTTGTGGAGTTAACAGTGGAAAATGCAGCAGCACGAGAACAAAGAGAGAAACCAAACTTCAAAAAAGGGGACTGCCTAAGAATAAGAAGTTTCCTGCATGAAGTGCAGTGAGAAAGAGAACTAGATGGAAAAACAGTGAATGAAATGATGGGAATAATAACCACTATGTGCAGGGAGGCAGAGGAAAGGCTCATACCAAAGGGCAACAGAAAAAATGGTAAGACCAGAGTGAGCCCATGGTTTAAGTGGAGGTGTAAAGAGGCCAAAGCCAAGTGTGCTAGAGAATGGAAAAGGTATAGAAGGCAAAGGACTCAAGAAAACAAGGAGCTGAGCAGAAGAACCAGAAAGGAATATGCAAGGATAAGGAGAGAGGCCCAGAGGCAATACGAGAACGACATAGCACCAAAAGCCAAATCTGAACCATAGTTGTTATACAGTCACATTAGGAGAAAAACAACAGTCAAGGACCAGGTAATCAGGCTGAGGAAAGAAGGAGGGGAGCTCACGAAGAGTGACCAAAAAGTATGTGATGAACTATATAAAAGATTTAGAGAAGTATTCACAATAGAGTCAGGAATGCTTCCAGCAAACTGTGGAGGCAGGGTGCACCAGCAGGCGCTGGATACGGTACACATAACCATGGTAGAGGTGAAGAAACTTCTAGACGAACTCGGTACCTCAAAGGCGGTGGGCCCAGATAGCATATCTCCATGGATACTGAGAGAGGGAGCAGATGAACTGTGTGTGCCATTAGCAGCAATCTTCAGTAAATCTATCGAAACAGGGCAGTTGCCTGAGGCGTGGAAGACAGCACATGTAGTTCCAATTTTCAAGAAAGGGGACAGACAGGCAGCACTAAACTACAGACCAGTGTCACTGACTTGTATAATATGTAAATTCATGGAAAAGATTATCAGGAGAAAAGTAGTGGAACACATTGAAAAGATTGGGCTCATACATGACAGTCAGCACGGCTTCAGAGATGGGAAAATCCTGTGTCAAAAATTTACTTGAGTTTACAATAAGGTAACAGAAGTAAGACAAAACGGAGAGGGATGGGTAGATTGCATCTTTTTAGGATTGCAAGAAGACTTTTGACACAGTACCACACAAGAGACTGGTGCAAAAATTAGAGGAGAGGGCAGGAATAATGGGGAAGTACTGCAATGGATTAGGGAATACCTGACAGGAAGGAAGCAACGCGTGTTGGTACGTGCCTAAAGTGTCGGAGTGGGCAAATTGTGTCGAGTGGGGTTTCACAAGGTTCAGTTCTAGGCCAGTGCTGTTTCTTGTATACGTGAATGACATGGTGGAGGAAATAGATTCAGAAGGGGTCACTGTTCGCTGATGATGTAAAACTGATGAGGAGAATACAATGGGCTAGGATCAGTTAAGATTACAAGGGGATCTGGACAAATACAGTATGGTCCGACAAATGGCTCCTGGAGTTTAACCCCAGTAAGTGTAAGGTCATGAAGTTTGGGGGAAAGGAACAGAAGACCGCAGTGGAGTAAAGGTTAGGAAACCAACAGCTGCAAACGTCAGTTAAAGAAAAGGATCTTGGGGTAAGCATTAAAAACGAACATGTCCCTGAGGCACACATTAAATCAAATAACTGCTTTTAGCATATGGGAGATTGGAAAACCCTGAGTTGGCATTTAGACATCTGAGTAAGGAGTCATTCACGACATTGTACACTGTGTACGTAAGGCCTACACTAGAATATGCAGCGCCAGTATGGAACCCTCACTTAGTCAAACGTCACGAAATTGGAGAAAGTGCAAAATTTGAAAACCGATTAGTCCAGAACTGAGGGGTATGTCTTATGAGGAGAGGTTAAGGGAACTAAACCCTGATGACACTAGAGGATAGGAGGGATAGAGGGGACATGATAACAACATATAAAATACAAAGAGGCATTGACAAGGTGGGACAAGGATCGAATGTTTCAGAGATGGGATACAGAAACAAGGGGACACAATTGGAAACTGAAAACCCAGATGAGTCATAGGGATTTTTAGGAAGTATTTTTTAGTCTTAGATTTGTCGGGAAACTGGAATAATCTGGAGAGTGAAGTAGTGGAAGCAAGTTCCATAAATAGCTTTAAAAGAGGTTATGACAAATATCATGGCGCGGGGAGAGAGTGAATTATTATCGACCAGTGAAGAGACGGGGCTAGGAGCTATGACTCGCCCCCTGCAACCACATATAGGTGAGTACATATAGGTGAGTACATCCAAAAACATTAGCTGCCCTTAATTTATTCTGGAGCAAACATACCCCAGACTCCTTTCACTAAGGAAAACCATTAATTTAATCAAAACCTCTTAAAATCATCACTCATTGTCAATTTTTCTACTCATACATTTTTCAAAATTTTATTACCTTTCCTTCAGGAACTCCCCAATACCATAGAATATCATTTGAAGACTTTCAAATTACTTTTTTTGGATATCTTAAATTACTTTTTAGACATTTTCAAAAAAACTTTCTGGATACTTTCAAAAAACGTTTTGGATACTTTCAAAATATATTTTGGATACTTTCAAAATATATTTTGGATACTTTCAAAAAGCTTTTTGGGTACTTTGAAATTAATTTTTGGATACTCTCAAATTACTTTTAGGATACTTTCCAAAAAAATTTTGGATACTTTCAAAATACTTTTTGGATACTTTTTAAAAACTTTTTGGATATTTTCAGAAAAGTTTTTCGATACTTTAAAAAAAAACTTTTTGAATACTTTCAAAAAACTTTTTGGATACTTTCAAGAAACTTTTTGTATTTCAAAAATCTTTTTGGATACTTTGAAATTACTTTTTGGATATTTTCAAAAAACTTTATGGGTACTTTCTAAATACATTTTGGATACTTTAAAAAAAAAATTTGGATACTTTCAAATTACTTTTTGGATACTTTCATGTAATGATTATAAACAGATGATTTTGACAACGAAAAATTGTCTTGTAAGACTGATGCTACACCTCAAGAAACTGCGTTGTTTTTCCTCATCTTCTGGTGATTGTGTCCACTACAAATTGCCATAATGAGGGACTTTGAGTTCCTGAGGCTTGAATGTGAACATTAGAGCCTAGCTTGGGCAAAGACTTTGAACTCTGGAGGGCTGAGCGTGAAGCCCATCTTGCCGTCCGTGTTGGTGACAGGAATAGCGGGGTCCAGACTGAAGGTGAAGTGTTGCATGAGAGAAGAGAACAGCAAAAACGTTGTCATCCTGGCCAGAGATTCTCCTAAACAGGATCGTCGACCTGGGAAAACACTGGTAGGTATTATGGATACAAAGTGTGAGAGAGATATACAACAAGAATAACAACATAGCCAGAAATATTTACGACTTATTTGGTGACCTTTTTTTTTACCAAGAAGTATGCAGTCTTCTGCCCTCGTGAGCTACGATCACCAGTGCACAAATTTTCTTACTAGTTACCTAATCTTAGTATTTATCGAAGCTTCATACTTGAACGTTATTTGGCCATATGAAAATATAATATAACTGGACATTTGTTTCCAACACAATACAGAAAGAAAACATGCAACATTTTTTAGCACAAACATAATTATAGCTAAAGGTTACATTTACACCGCAAGTTTTATATTTGCAAAGCGAACGTATAATTTGGAACAAATGTTTAATAAATGCAACAGAAACGTAACGTTAGCAAAACGAAAAGATATTTTTTTCATTACAAGAATCACCTTTGCCGAAGGGAATGACACGCTCGTCCTTACGAATTGAACCATCATGGTTGATGAAACGCTCAGGGCGGAAGGTTTCTGGGTCACCCCAGTAACCTGGGTCCATATGAACGCTGTACAAGTTGTTCAACACTACCGTCCCGGCTTGGATCCTGAAGCCCTGTGAATAATCACAATATCAGATGTGTACTTGCATTAAGATTTATTGTATACTGGTATAGCATTTTCTCTGAAATCTCAGTGATGTCATTACTAGTTAAAGATTACTGTAGGCAGAGTAATGTCACTGTGGAGACAGTATGGTCAGTATGGAGACAGTGAGGTCAATGTGGAGGTAGAGTGAGGTCACTGTGAAGACAGTAAACTCACTGTGAAGGCATAGTGAGGTCACAGTGGAGAGTGAGGTCACTGTAGAGACAGTGAGGTAATTGTGGAGACAATAAGGTAATTGTGGAGACAGTGAGGTCACTGTAAAGACAGTGAGGTCACTACGGAGACAGTGACCTCACTGAACAGGCAGTGAGGGCACTGAGGAGACAGTGAGGTCACTGTGGAAGCAGTGAGGTACTCTGGAGACAGTGAAGAAACAGAATTAGGCTGTGAAGACAATATGGTCACTGTAAAGGTAGAGTGAGGCCACTCTAGAGATAGAATGAGGTCACTTGAGGTAAAGTGAGGTCACTATGGAGACAGTGAGGTCACTATGGAGACAGTGAGATCACTGTGGAGGCAGTGAGGTCACTGTGGAAGCAGTGAGGTCACTGTGGAGGCAGTGAGGTCACTGTGTGTCAGAAAGAGACCAGTTAGACAAAATAAAAATCACTGAGGCAGACTGAATTTGCTATGGCATATTATTGTATTCAAAAACAAGCGCTAAACCCATATGGCTTATATAGTACCAAACGATAGAGAAGGCAGGTGAAGGAACAGGTAAATAACAGGAAAATATTAAGTGGTACGACTCCTGAGTTTCATCTAAGAAATCATAAAGAACTTGAGAATTAGATCATGGAACACAAGAAGTAGCTAGTATCAGGGTGAATAATGAATAATTAAATTTCTGAGAGGCCAAGTGGTCTCTGAGAAGTCAAGTTGTCACAAAGAGGTCAAGTGCTCACAGAGAGGTCAAGTGCTCACAGAGAAGCCAAATGGTCACAGAGAGGTCAAGCTGTCACTGAGAGGCCAAATGGTAATTAAGATTGTACACAGTAGGTCTTCCCACCTGTATCACACACCTCCCACTAGAGAGGGTTACTGGCCTAGGCCTAGTTTCTAAACCTCCCACCAGATGTCAGGCACTGAGGTAGACCCACGCTGTTTAACATCTCTCTCACTTCGCGCTCACCTGACCTACCATCAAGACCTATTCCCTTGACTGGTTCCCAGCTACCCTCTAACTGCGTCTGCCTGTGTACCCTTAATTTAAATAAATCCAGATCTAGTCAATAGCACTTGTGTTCAGCCTATAAGCTACCCTGCTATACTGCTACACTACGAAAGGCAGTTAATTATAACAGTATTGAGAGAAGTGGATATTACATTTGTGATTTTTCTCTCTCATAATGATTATCTTTCATAATATTTTGTGTTACTCTGCCCTTCTGCAAGTGAATAATTTTTGCATTTCAAATTGCAATTGTCAGCACCTGCAACATTTTGCTTTGTGCTAAGTTTGCAAAAGAGAATTCACAACAATTTTGTCACTAGATTCTATTTCTTTGGACATACAATTTTGTTTTGTGAACTTTTTTCATATTGTTACTGTAATATTTCGCAATTGCTATTGTTGTAGCAATGTTATACATTTTCTGGGAAATCACCTGCATTAATCAGTGAAATTTTCTGTTGTGAACCCACTTGCATAAACTTATTTTAACATCGATTTCCAAAGTACATCATTGTATTGGTTAACGTGTTCTTAAAATTCTTACATCGTACCAACAAGAGTGCCAATTACCATCATGTTATGTTGTTCTCTTTGACTCTCTGCCAAGTTTAGGTTAAACTGTGTACCATTTTCAGCTTTCTTAATATTTTTTCCTACCTTTTCTGATTTCTTATTCTTCGCACGACTCTGAGCCATGACTAACACATGTAGTGGTCGCAATACTTCGTCAGCTCAGACTGGCACGACCAGTAATCCTTCACAGGATTTGTCCAATAGTACTTGAAGTGGAAAATGTTCTACGGAGAGCCAAATAGCAGCCCTCATAGCAACCAACTGCATGTGCTTCAAACGGTCGTTCTTGCCCATCCCTCATCTTCGTTGGTGGCTCTGACATGTTAGAGATGGGGCTAATATCTGTTGAAACTGCAGTAAGGGGTAAATATGATAACCCTTCAAACGAGCAATATATACATTTTGATATTGCCGCAGTAGATCAAGAAAGAGGTACTGTCAGTGCTTTTGTTCGTCTCAAGCGAGTTAGCAAGCTTGAGACAGGGCCTGGCCTCAAGGAGGAGTTCCACTGATACTTCCATCGAAGGAAGAAGAACCACTACTTTGATATCTTCACTAATGCTTGGAATGAGAAACAGGTTTTGAATAAAGATCTCACCTGCAGCCTGACATCTCCCTCCGCACTCACCTGACCTACCATCAAGACCTACCTCCACCCACCTCCTTGACTGGCTCCTGGGTGCCATCTAACTGTATCTGCCTGTGTAGCTCTTAATCAAATAAATCAAAATTTGTCAATAGCATTTGTGTTCAGCCTCCAAGCTACTCTGCTATGAAAGACAGTTATAACAAGAAGTCAAGTGGTCACTGAGAGGTCAAGTGGTCACTGACAGATCAAGTGGTCACTGAGAGATCAAGTGGTCACTGAGAAATCAAGTGGTCACTGACAGATCAAGTGGTCACTGAGAGATCAAGTGGTCACTGAGAAATCAAGTGGTCACTGACAGATCAAGTGGTCACTGAGTGATCAAGTGGTCACTGAGAAATCAAGTGGTCACTGACAGATCAAGTGGTCACTGAGAGATCAAGTGGTCACTGAGAGATCAAGTAGTCACTGAGTGATCAAGTGGCCACTGAGAGATCAAGTGGTTACTGAGAGATCAAGTGATCACTGAGAGATCAAGTGGTCACTGAGAGATAAAGTGGTCACTAAGAGATCAAGTAGTCACTGAGAGATTAAGTTGTCACTGAGAGATCAAGTGATCACTGAGAGATCAAGTGGTCACTGAGAGGTCAATTAGTCACTGAGTGATCAAGTGGTCACTGAGAGATCAAGTGGTCTCTGAGAGGTCAAGTAGCCACTGAATGATCAAGTGGTCACTGAGAAATCAAGTGGTCACTGAGAGATCAAGTGGTCACTGAGAGATCAAGTGGTCACTGAGAGATCAAGTAGTCACTGAGAGATCAAGTGGTCACTGAGAGATTAAGTTGTCACTGAGAGATCAAGTGGTCTCTGAGAGATCAAGTGGTCTCTGAGAGATCAAGTGGTCTCTGAGAGGTCAAGTAGCCACTAAGTGATCAAGTGGTCACTGAGAAATCAAGTAGTCACTGAGTGATCAAGTGGTCACTGAGAGATAAAGTTGTCACTTAGAGATCAAGTGGTCTCTGAGAGATCAAGTGGTCTCTGAGAGATCAAGTAGTCAGTGTGAGGCCAAGTTGTCACTGAGAGATCAAGTGGTCACTGAGAGATCAAGTGGTCACTGAAAGATCACGTGGTCACTGTGAGGCCAAGTAGTCACTGAGAGATCAAGTGGTCTCTGAGAGATCAAGTGGTCACTGAGAGATCAAGTAGTCACTGAGAGATCAAGTGGTCTCTGAGAGATCAAGTGGTCACTGAGAGATCAAGTAGTCACTGAGAGATCAAGTGGTCTATGACAGATCAAGTGGTCACTGAGAGATCAAGTGGTCTCTGAGAGATCAAGTGGTCAATGAGAGATCAAGTAGTCACTGAGAGATCAAGTGGTCTCTGAGAGATCAAGTAGTCATTGAGAGATCAAGTGGTCACTGAGAGATCAAGTAGTCACTGAGAGATCAAGTGGTCACTGAGAGATCAAGTGGTCACTGAGAGATCAAGTGGTCATTGAGAGATCAAGTAGTCACTGAGAGATCAAGTAGTCACTGAGAGATCAACTGGTCTCTGAGAGATCAAGTAGTCACTGAGAGATCAAGTGGTCACTGAGAGATCAAGTAGTCACTGAGAGATCAAGTGGTCTCTGAGAGATCAAGTAGTCACTGAGAGATCAAGTGGTCACTGAGAGATCAAGTAGTCACTGAGAGATCAAGTGGTCACTGAGAGATCAAGTGGTCACTGAGAGATCAAGTAGTCACTGAGAGATCAAGTGGTCACTGAGAGATCAAGTAGTCACTGAGAGATCAAGTGGTCACTGAGAGATCAAGTGGTCACTGAGAGATCAAGTGGTCACTGAGAGATCAAGTGGTCACTGAGAGATCAAGTGGTCACTGAGAGATCAAGTGGTCACTGAGAGATCAAGTGGTCACTGAGAGATCAAGTGGTCACTGAGAGATCAAGTGGTCACTGAGAGATCAAGTGGTCACTGAGAGGTCAAGTGGTCACTGTGAGATCAAGTAGTCACTGAGAGATCAAGTGGTCACTGAGAGATCAAGTGGTCTCTGAGAGATCAAGTGGTCTCTGAGAGATCAAGTGGTCTCTGAGAGATCAAGTGGTCACTGAGAGATCAAGTGGTCTCTGAAAGATCAAGTGGTCACTGAGAGATCAAGTGGTCACTGAGAGATCAAGTGGTCACTGAGAGATCAAGTGGTCACTGAGAGGTCAAGTGGTCACTGAGAGATCAAGTAGTCACTGAGAGATCAAGTGGTCACTGAGAGATCATGGTCTCGAGAGATCAAGTGGTCTCTGAGAGATCAAGTGGTCTCTGAGAGATCAAGTTGTCACTGAGAGATCAAGTAGTCACTGAGAGATCAAGTGGTCTCTGAGAGATCAAGTGGTCTCTGAGAGATCAAGTGGTCACTGAGAGATCAAGTAGTCACTGAGAGATCAAGTGGTCACTGAGAGATCAAGTGGTCTCTGAGAGATCAAGTGGTCTCTGAGAGATCAAGTGCTCTCTGAGAGATCAAGTTGTCACTGAGAGATCAAGTGGTCTCTGAGAGATCAAGTGGTCTCTGAGAGATCAAGTGGTCTCTGAGAGATCAAGTGGTCACTGTGAGGACAAGTTGTCACT